TGATGGTGATGGTGATGGTGATGGTGATGGTGATGGTGATGGTGATGGTGATTATGATGAAGCTGAAGCTGAAGCTGAAGTTGAAGTTGAAGTTGATGATGATCACTAAGAGAGAGATGACAGAAGGAATCTCGCAAAAGTGCACGGCGTCAAGTCAAGAACACGCATGGCGCATCCACACAACCACACAGGCAAAACAAATTTCGTGTGAGACATCGCCAAACCGCGTGGCACAGCGAGATCACAAAAGGAATTTTGCAAAAGTGTCATGTGATCCCATCATGATGCACACTCTGCGCAAAGCTTCCAATCTTGTGGAAACCCCATGGTGCAGCCAAATTGTTCTTCTTTGGTTCATTTACGAACTCTGATTTGCGAAAAGCTTGAAATCCAAGAGCAGTACATGATACAGCTTTCGCTGTTTGAAACGGTAATGAGTTCCAAGAAATGAAGGGTGATGTATAATCGATTGAGAGTTTCCGTGGATTCAGAGTGCTGCTTGGAGGGTCTGAATGCCGTGCTATGCGGAACGGTGTGTAGAAACCCCCATAGCATCCGCCGGAGCGACTAAGTTCCGCCTGAAAGAGCAGTTGGTGAAGCAAGTTTACGAAATTGAACTCCCTGGCGGCATTTTACATCCTCTGCACCCCAAGGAACAACAACCCCATAGAAGTCCCAAGTCCACCACCCCACGAACAGCTGCGCAAACAGTGACTATGCAAAGCCGCCAGGCCAGGATTTTGGAGATCTCTCTGCACCATGTTGGTCACAAGTCGCTCCATGGAGGCATGCCACCAGCGCTTGGAGAGCAGGTTTCACTCACTGAGGTTGACTTAGCCAGCCAAACATGACATACAGTATACACGATCTGAATAATTATGCAGCATAACTACTCAGGAGGCGTTGTTTTGCCGGGGTGTCCCGAGGCGCTTTGCCCAGAAGCGACAGTCGGATATTGAGGCAATTGCTGAAGTTGTGGGATGTTGTGGGTCATGGGCCTTCTCGGTACTTGGCGATTCGGAGGATTGTCATGGGAGCGACGAGGAGCGCCTTGAGCAAGACCTTTTTGCAGAGGGAGTTGTAGATCAATAGCCCGAAGACATTTGCAAGTCAAGCGGGTAGTCTGAGTCGCTTGTGGGCTCACTGTGAGAGCTACACAGGAATGCCAGGTAGGGAAGCTTTCTTCAAGCACGTGCACCCTGCGTTGGTGAGGGCTGCTGTGATTTTGGTCTTGTTTTCACTGAAGCAGCTGCAGATGCCTTGACAAAGCCAATTCTCAGATCTGTCGGAGGAGCTTCTGTGCCACTGTTTTGGGCTGCGTGGCTCCGAGATGTGCTCTTGCCAAAAGACTAACGGATGATACAAACAGTTCACTTGATGAGGGACTGACCTTTCACGGTTTCGCACACTGACACTGCTGCCGGCACAGTTACTTACGCACCCATCATTGAATGCAAGTGTGTTGTCAATGCGGCAGTTTAATTAACATTTGTTGTGGGTGTTCGAAGGGGCCTACCACCCTGTTGAGTTCTGGTTGAGTGCATTTTCGGAATTGAATGTTGCTTGCGGGCAAAACCTCAAAGTCCACAGTCCACAACGGGGAAATCCAATTCCAGCGCCCGTGCCTTCGACCTCTTCCACCTCCAGGGGACGGGGCTCATCCGGACAAGGAGACCTTCAAGCACAGGACTGGGCCATGTCAGCATATTCCGTCTGCATTTGTAGCGAATCCGTATCTGGTCAACATGGTGCAGACCTGCCGCAGTCGATCAACGATTCCGACATCAACATTGTGGCCTCTTCCTCTTGGCCCTCTGCAGCCAGAGCTGACACCGTGCACCGCTGTCCGTGGGCGCTTATGCCTGATGCCTGGCTTGGCATAGGAGATAAAACAAGCAGTGGCTCTATGAATATATGTCCAATTTTTCTGTCAATCATTGGAAACAATCTAGAATCTGAATCTAGCCTATATAGTCGCCTCGCTTCTCATCCTCATTTCTTGCGTTCTTCGCATGGCATGGCGGATCCAAAAAGAACAGGTCTTGAGCCTGACTTACAGCACCCATCCATTCGGAGGGCCTTCCATCAACGCCGGTTTGGCTGACAGGCTGTCAGCAACGAAGCGGCGATATCCATATCACTGCACCCCAAACGTCAAAATCCTTGCATGGAGCAGGGGCCACACCGCGGACATACCCTGGTCCGAGGGTCGTATTTAAGAAGGCACAAGTCACCTCACATACAACCGCAACTGCACTGAGCTGACAATCCCAGGGCAATTCGCGCAACCCATGAAGCAAAAGGGAAGGCTGCACAGCCCGCTCCTGGCCAAACCAGCGGCGTATCGCTGAAGGCTTTGAGTCCCCTCGCTTTCCCAGCGAAGCCACCAATTGTGGCATGTTTGCATCTTCTGATACGTTGGGATTAGACTTTTGAGGAGGAAAAGAACTGTTGCTGAACTGCCTCTCATCTGCGACATTCGGCTCAAGCCGTGATCGTCTTGGCGAGGTTGCTCTGTGAGCATGTGGGTCATTGCTAATCTGCCTTTGCATGCCAACATTCACTTCAAGGATTGATGGCCTCGGGGAGTCTCTCTGACGGTTTGAACCGCTGCTAATCTGCCTCCCCAATGGAGCTGTCGAAACATCCCCAGACACAGCTGGCGCTAAAGCCTTAGCATCTTCTGACAAGCTGGAAGCATCAGACTTTTGAAGAGAACTGTTGTTGCTAATCTGCCTCCCGGGTGAAGCATCATGAACTGATTCCCTGGGGGAGTTTCCTGGGTGAGGGCATGAATCACCGCTCACCTGCCTCCCAATCGGAACATTCACGTCAAAAATAGATTGCCTTGGTGAATTTGCTCTCTGAGCATTTGAGTCATTGCTGCTATGCCTCCCGATGGGAACATTCACACCAAGCATTGATTTCTTTGAAGAGTTTCTCTGAACAATTGAACCGTTGCTCAGTTGCCTCCCCACGGAAACATTCACGTCCAGCATTGATTGTCTCCGTGAATTCGCTGCCCGAACATCCAAAGATCCAGCTGGCGTCTTGGCGTCTGACATGTTCGACACATCAGACTTTGGCTGAGAACTGTTGCTAATGACATGACGCACTGATTGCCTTGGCGAGTTGGCTCTTCGTGAATCATCTGCTGCGTTCACAAGAAGAACTGGTGGATGCGCTGGTGCGTCGGGAGGGCCCGGAGCGTCGACAAATAGCCTTGTTTGAGGCTCCTCGTCCGGCTCGGGGATGAAGACCAGTCTTGGAGCTTGTATTGATGGACCTGGCACTCGCACTCCTGATATTTCAGGTAGAGGCACGATGGACGACATCTTCATAGACCTGTCACCACATGGTGAAGTCATTTGTAGCGTCCGGGCACCGCTTTTCCTGAAGCCGCTGTCATTCAGTTCATCCAAGCGCCAGCCCGTCTGAGAGTCATTTGGGCACATTCTGCGAACCTCCGCGCTGAGGTAGCTTGTATGCCGTGAACTCTTCTGAAGATCATAGTCGATGAGTTCAGGAAGGACAGGGCTCATGGGAACAATCTGCTGGATCACGATGAAGTCTTCAAGGTATTCTGCAACCAGCAGACACAGCAAGGCGGCTCCCGCAGATGCATTGTACACTGGAGATCCAGGTCCAGACAAAGATAAGTTCTGATAAACCAAGGCCCTGCTCAAAACCAAGGCAAAAATTGCCGGAAACCTGAAGTAGCCTGCATAGATCTTGATCTCATCATGTAGTTTGCCAAAGGCTGTCGGTGCAAAGAACAAAGCCCGCTTCAACCCTGCGGCCTTCTTGAGAGTCAGGAAGAGGCAGAGTCGCGTCCATCCACACCGTGCCATCACATTGAGGAGCAAAGTAAGAACTACACTACCCACCCAAGCGTACTCACCAGTTGTCACAGCTCCAGAGAAAACGGCTGCCACCCGAGCACATTCCGCAAGTCCATGGAGCGCTGTCAACATGTAGGGTATGGGCACGTAAGAGATATCCCCAGGAACTTCAGGTCTTTTTTGGACGACCAGGCTGATGTAGGTGCACCGGGTGTAGATGACCATCACACTTTCGACCACTGCGGTTGAGACCGGCAGGAAGAAGGATGCCATCACCGGCTGGGAAGCCGCAAGCAAAAAGCGGTATCCAACCACAATTGCCAACAAAATCGTGGCCAAGCCTGCCGTTGCCAGGTAGTTCGCTGCTGTCCACAGCAGGCAGGAGGAAAAACGACGTTCTGGATATTTGGCCCGAGTCCGGTAGTATTGCCAAAACGGGCCAACCAAAATGGCAGCAGTCAATCCACCTTGTGAAATTGAAAGCTCGGCCAAGTGTGCAGGTGTTGCTGCTATGGCAACGAGCAGGAAGGCGACTGCGCAAACCATCTTGTCCATCAAATCCACGTCAGATTCCCCCGACAGGCTGGCAGCCCAATTCTTCCAAACACCCGGCGCGCATAAGAAGACAGCAGACAGCACAACCAGCAGGCCCCGCCACCATGGATCCTGACCATCCTCAGCACTCCCATCAAATTTGATGGAAACTGTCCACCTGATGACGTGCCAAACTAGCACAACTATTAAAGATCTCAGCACATAGCGTGTGGAAAACGTCCCAAAGGCTTTAAGCTCCGGGTCTTCCACTCCAACCTCCCAGTTGCCCGCTACTTCGTCATCAGGCTCCAAAACTACTTCGCCCGATATCTCCATCAGTACATGCCCTTGCTCGTGTACGAGCCGCACGTGCCTCATCTGCCCGTTAAGGGTGTAGATGTGCAAAGTGTGGTTGGGCGGAACAACAATACAATCTGCACCTGTCTTGGTCCAGTAGGTTTTAAATGATTGACCCAGCTTGCGACCCAAGGGTGAGGGCATACCAGCTTCGCTGGAATTGAAGGGTTGCCAGGCAAAAATAACGTTCGGCTCTTCGCCACGGATCTTCACTTGGCCCTCGCTGACCAGAAAATGCGCCAAGCGTCCTCCGGCCAGCAAGCGTCTTCGAGCCAAGAGTTCATCAGACGGACCCCCATCGCCGACAATGATGAGACAATGGTCCTTGTAGTTGAGATTCAGCTCGAATGACTCCATCTGGCCTACTTGCGCAAGTACTATGGAACATATTTATAGCACCACTGTGTATAGTGCTTGAGCCGCGGCATGGCTGATCGGTCCGAAAAAGCTGGTCATCTTCCACAGCAAGACCTGTTCGAGGCAGTGTTTGAGTCTTATCCACAGGGCCTCCGATGCCTCCAGATTCACATCTGAAGGTGTTATTTCTGGTCCGCGCTGGGCAGCCGGCACCTAGTGGGCCCGAAGCAAAAAGCTCCCGGTCCATAGGCAAAACAAAGGTTTGAATGTTCTGCTCTGGCGCTTCTGGAGTCAAGGGTTGTTTGTGTGTTGGGTAAAACCTGTCTTGGAAACTATTTGGAAAATCTGACAATCTATTTGCAAAACCTTATGGACCACTATGCCAAGTTGTTTGTGGAACTTGGGAAATTAGTAGGACGGGGTTTGCTCGGAAACATGACTTGTCAAGTCTGTGGGGGGCACAGAGATGGGGCTGTGAGACGCAGGCACAAAAGTCAGAGCTGAGCAGGGCCTCCTGGCTGGAGGCCACTTGCCACAAAATAGCACAGCGCACAAACTAGAGTCGAATTGGTGTGCGCCATTGTAGGATTGTCAAGCTGTGGACTTCTGACTGTTGGGTGGAAATTCAGCTGACCATGGCGGAACAAATGCTACAAAGGAAGTCAAGAGGGACCTGGCGCAGCAAGGAGAAAAAACACTTAGCATGAGGCATGCTGGTCGCAGGATCTAACCAGTCAAACCCAAATCGTTCGAAACCCTCCAAACCGTTCCGAACCCTTTTAGCAAGATTCATTAACAGTCTGGGAACAGTCTGAACCGTTTGAGACTGTTTGGGACAGAAGGGCATTTGCCAAATAGTCTGAAACCGTCCAGACCGTCAAAAACTGTTGTTCGCGCAAATAGTCAGAAACCGTCTGGACCTTCGCAAACTGTTTTATATAAGCCTGCACAATGATAATGAATGAACACGCTGAGATTCAGAAACTGCAGAAGTCAAGCGATATTGTTTGATGTTTGCATCACACGTTCAAAACTTACAGTTCAACCGTAACCAATGAAATAGAGAACCAACAAGGACCCATTGCTTTTCTTTCCCCCATGCCTTTGGGGCTATTCATGGTTTAGTAAGACTCTTTTTGCATTACTGCGGTTCAGTTTGTAGGTGGACAGAGGGGGTCCATTTTGGGGGAGCACTGCTTGCTGTGATTTGTAGTACTGCAACCTCATGGTTAGAGGTTAATTACTCAGGTTGATCAGCTGCTCAGGGTAGAAAGGCCAAGAAGTGGAAAGCAGCACTGCCGGACAAACTGGCTTGACAATGGTCATAGTGAAACAGACCGGGAACCCGGTATTTAATGAGTCTGGAAGTACAAGGGCTAAGCAAAAGGCGTAGCAAGCCCAAAAAGAACATGAAAGGGAATGGGGGTGTGGTCTTTGGCTGGCTAATAGTGTTTGGCCGAGTTTTCCCAAGCCGTAATGCTGTGGAGTAAGGCTAAAAAGCTTTAAAGCTCCAGACACTTGCCGCATGCCTCTTGACTTTTATTTTGCAAGAACTCGCAGGTTTGATTCTGTAGGTCTGGCTTGTGAAATGCGAGCTCTGGAGGCCCACCATCCAACACTTCATAATTATAGATTCGATCATAGGGCAAGTCGGAAAATATTTTGGAAACTCTCTCAAGTCAGGGGTGGTTGCGGTGAGCGCACGTGGTGCATACAGACTTCTCAAAACAAGAAGTAACGGCCACTAAGTATCTTGTCAAAAACTGTGAGACATCCCAAAAACACATTGAACATTATTCGACAAACCTGACAATAGGCTTTGAGATTTGCAGAATAGGTTTCCAGATTTGCTGAACAGTTTTGGGGTGAACACCTCCAGCAGACAGACACTGGAATAAACAAGAGGCCCTTCAGTCCTTGGGTCTAGAATCCTAAACGTCAACTTTTCAGAAATCACCCATTCTTTGGGTGAAGCTCACGTGCCTCCGCCGACGAGTTGCTCTGCTGAACATCGTCTGCGTCCGCATCTTCCGAGAAAGCTGCCTGCATGTTCAGGCCGTGTTCCCTATTCGTCAACCCCATCGAAGTCAAACATCAGTAGCTGCCCGCATGAAGGATGTTCGCAAGCCCCTGCCCAACCACATCCCAGCTAGCCGCTGCAATTGCCAAGGTGCGACAAAGCGCTTACAGGCATCTGCAGGATCATCTGGAGGATCTGGCGGCATATGCCCCGTCGGCGCTGTGGCTAAATCAGGCCAGATCCTGAAAACACACTGGCTGCCCCGTCACGAATCAGCAAAGTCTGCCAGCAAGCTAAGAGTCTTGACAGGTGTTTGGGTGTTTTAGACGTGGAGTTGCGGTCCTGAAGGTGGACGAGGGCCATGACATCGTGCACCCATTGACGCGTGCACCACCCCGACGACTGGTCTGAACTGTTCTTGTGATGTGCAGCAACGACTGGACTGTGTTCTCTCTCTCTCTCTCTCTCTGCAGAGTGGCTGTTTCCACTGTTATGTCTTTTCTTGCCCGTTGAACTGCATGCTACAGTAAGTGAACAACCATGTTTTTGTCCAAGCTGATATGTATTCTCCTCTTCGCTTGTGCACAGCACAGCTCGCATACTATGAAATAAATGCTATAGACTAAACATATATATATATAATCCCCTGCAGGAACTGCCCTTCTGAGGATCGAGGATGAAGGCGAGCAAAGGACATCGATGAATGATAGCTGGCTGAAGTGAATCATGTGAGGTGAGGTGAGGTGAGGAGAGATACGATGCACAGGGCGGGTTAGATTGAGTAAGAAAATGGTCCAGCTGGCAACTCCAGTCGGTTTTCGTGAAAGTACAGCAAATGCAATTGCAAATAGCAGCACTGTCACTAACAGACCGCTCGACATCAAAGAGCAAACTCACCTTCTGCGATGAATTCGGTGGTTTCATTCACCTCCGTCCAGGTGGCTGATGCTGCAGATTTTGCCCCCTCCAGTTGCCATCGCTGATAAGAGGGAGGATGCCAAGAATTCCGTCGCAGTGACAGCTAACCTTGCATTGGCGCATTCAAGCAAGAACATGGGGATGCTAGAGCAGCTGCTGCTGCAGCTGAGGATGCAAATGGGATGATACCAATTCAAGGCTTGCCATCAAGTATCGCTCAGTATCTAAGCTTCGACAGTATCACTTCATGAAATTGCACTCTGACGCAACACAACGAAAAAAACCCTCTGAATGAATTCAATAGAAATGCAACTGTGTGATCTGTAAAAAATAGCAGCTACTCGGCCCACATGTAGTCTGTGTATGTAAGATGCTTTAACTTTCCAAAGCTGACCGGGAATGTTGCGCTTGCTGCCTTTTGTCTGGCACACAGGACCCTCTTTGAGGATCAAAAATTCACCACTCCAGGGCAGCATCTGATATCCTTACTGAAAGCTAACCCGACATTTTTGAATACGCATCAGCCCAATTACTTAATTACCTAAAACCCAGCCGCTGCTCAAAGGAGTGGCGTCTCTGCTACGATTTGTCGGCGATCCACCTCTTAAACTTCATCAAGAGGCTGAAAGAATCCAAGTTGCCCTGCAAGGAGGACAACATGTTTCCTCATGACCGCTAGCCGCTAGCCCTGCACCTGGCTGTCAAAACAGCAGGAGGTCAATAGAACAATTTAGATATATTCAGAGCAGTTGCCTGAATCTTAATGAAAGCGCTTCAAAAGTGGGCCGTTTTGGCGCCTCAGGATGCCATGCTTCCTGGATCCACTCTACAATGTTCCTGGGCACCTTGCTGGGCACTGAAGGGCGTTTGCCTGACTTGATCGCCTGGATTAGTTTTTGTTGCTTGGGCATTCCCTCCAGAACCTGGTCCGAACGGTCCAGGAAACATGTCTCGTCAACCTCCTCCTCATTGAAGGTTCCAAGAATGATATAAGAAAAGCTATAGACATCGCTTTTCTCACTGAAGTGGCCCTCAAAGCCTTCAGGCGACATGACGAGCACAGTCCCTTGTGGCTGCAGCTTTTGAACCTGTGGTCGCGCCAATCCGAAGTCTGCGATTTTGGCGGTGAAGCCGCCCCCATCCGGGGCAATAAGGACATTGGCCATCTTCAAGTCCCTGTGCACGTAGCCCTCGCGGGCCAACCAAGCACCACCACAAGCGACGTCTCGCATGAGTTTCGAGTGTGCTCGGCTGTTCAGTGTTCCTTTCTTTGACTTGAGATGATGTCGCAAATCACAAAGGCAGAGCTCGGTGACAATGGCATAGTTCTGGGGATCAATCGCCAACAGCTTCACAAGGTTGGGATGCGGCATGCCCCCTGGCAAGCTCAACGAGGCCAAGGCACCAACCTCAAGAGCAAAGTCCTTTCGCAAGGCCGTCGACAGGCCATCCTCCTTCAAGACCTTCACTGCAACGTCCACAAGGCCTTCTCCAGTCACCAAGCCTGCTTTCCAGGTGGTTCCAAACGCACCTTCACCCAAGAGAGCTTTGGGATCCTTGCGATCAAGCTTTAAGTCAGATCCGATCTCCACACGAAGAACCACCTCGCTGATGTGGTAGCTGCTGAGAAGTTCTGACTGACCTAAAGGAGCATTTGCCACAAGCTCCACACATTGCCCAGGTGTCGACATGGACACTCCGAAGCGGAACTTGCCTTTGATCCCCACACTGTGGAACCTCACACTGCCCTTCAGGAAGTCGGCAGTACCATCCTCAACGCGGATTGTGAGGATGTCACCATCCACTAAGCCAGGCGCATCACCCACAATCTTCCCATCATGTACCATGGCCCCTGCCTCAGCCGAGCACATGGCACCTATGGTGCCCTCGAAGGCTTCATGCCCGATCGGATGCATGCTGAAGCCAGATGGATTGTCGTCCACAATGCCAATGGCAATTACACCATCTTTGTCACCTTTTCCATGAGCGCAATTGAGTCGCACGACGAAGTCGTAGCGTCCATCTGCATTGAAGACCTCCTCTGTCACTGCTGTGGCCTCCTGCTGCCTTTTGCACTGGGCCACCATTTTCGTTTCATCCACAGAGATCGACTTCAGACCCTGCCAGAAGTGGAACCCACCAGTCTCTCTGAAAGTTTTTTGGGGAAGTTCCTGTGCATCACCCTGGGAAGCACTAGCCACGACATAGAGCAATTTTTTCAACTCCTCGAGTGGGTCCTGCTCTCCAAAAGGCGGTTTGCCCTTCAAGCCATTCTCATGAGCCAAGGTCACATCCTGGTAAGGCGGGCCGCGGTAGGAATTTTTAGTGCCTGCATCCCACTCAACCTTCAGCCAGCCATCACTGTCTACCCTTCCTGTGACAGTGCCTTCCTCATGAGCCGCACCATCCTGCCTGCCCCATTTCCACGTTGGTCCACGGATCACCCTGCTTCCAACCTTCGGGACAACAGGCGCACCATTGCAGTAGTGGCAAAGGTCATAGTCGTGCGCAACACATCTGTGGTCAAGGGCTCCACATGGTATGTAGGTGTGGCATGCGTCACAGACTCTTCCTGATGTTGGGCCAGGCACCTTCTCCTCCACCAGCTGACAGCCATGGTGGCAGCAGCGCTTGTTAGTCGAGTCGAAAACTTCGATGTCCCAGAAAAAGGCTGTGTCATCCACAGCAACCTTGACGCATCTCTGGTTGCACTCGACAACTTCACCAAGCTTGCCACAGTGTCCATGCATCATAAAGTTCCACTGCACTCGCATGTTCTGCAATCTTTGATCAGATGCATCAGGCAACTTCACTCTGGAGCCAATTCGCAGAAGACGCTCACCATGGCATTTTTGAGATGGAGACAAATACCTGACATGAGCTGCTTCATGCGATGCGGTGGACACGATCTTGACGCACTGGCCCTGTGCTGCCATAGACACTCCGAACCTCACTCCAGCTTTGACTTCACATTGATGGAATGCCTGTCCCTTTGGGTCAATGAAGAACACTTTGCCTCGGCAAAATCTCACACCCACAACGCTTCCGTCAGAGAGTGTGGGCGCTGATCCTGAAGGCTCGCCACTGCGTAGGCAGACACCATTGCTATCATTGCACCAAGCTCCGATGGAGTTGCTAAATTCTCTTTCCCCAAGGAGATGATCGTCAAAGCCACTGCATGTTGAGAGTGACGTGTTGCCAGCCACAAAGCCCCAAGAGATGCCCTTTTCTGCCGAGCCGACCTTGATGAAGAAGTCCACAGTAGAGCTCGGCTGGACCACCTCTGCTGTGAGCACGGTGGTGGGGGAAGACTTCGTACATTCAACCGCGCGCTTACCATCTCTTAGAATGGCAGGCTGGCAAGGGTCCACATGGAAGTGGAAGCCGCCTTCGGCATTGTAGAAAACTGTAGGCAACGTCTTGGAGCCATGGCGGTCATGTCGGGCTGCCCTCTCCATTTGGGCCTTCGCCCTCTCCATTTGGGCCTTCAATAATAATGCACCCAGCAGGGCCTTTGCTATAGCTTCACGCGGGTCGTTCAGGATATCAGTCTCAAGATCCTGTCTGGGACGATGGGCCGCTTCCTCCATGATCTCGGCGTCCCTTTGCACATTCTGGTTACCTGTGCAGCTAACACCAAGAAGTGCAGCAGCACCCATTTCGTGACTGCGAAGGGTTAGTTCCGGATTTGACAGCGGTCTTGGAAAAACTGCTGCGTCGAACACTTTGGATGAATGGCCTACTCTTTTACAAGTGCATGGCATGGCTAATCCTTAAGTGCAGGACTGACATCACTGAACTCTGCAGCTGGGGAGGCGGACTGTCAGGTAAGCATCAAAAGAGATGGAACGAGGCCTCTCGCAGAAAGTCAGGGAAGGGTTTGAAAATACTCTGCTATGCCTAAGCCTTATCCTGGCATGTCCCAAAGGAGGAGGAGGAGGAGGAGGAGGGGGAGGAGGAGGATGCTGATGCTGATGCTGATGCTGACGGTGATGGTGACGATGACGATGACGAGGAAGAAGAAGAAGAAGAAGATGATGATGATGATGATGATGAAGGGCCACTAGCTCTCAGGCCCCATCTCTTCACTAGACACCGGGCTGATGCGGACCCCTAAGCCATGGTCCAGCTGAACTACCTGACCTCCCTGGTCCACGAGCTCCTCACTTACCGGAACTTCATCCAGCTACTTGGAGGACCTCTTCATAGGCTTCCCACTGAGGCTGTCCCAAAGGTTGGCGCGGTCTTCTTGACTGTGGTTTTACCTCCAAGCGACCCTTCTAGTTCTCCTCTGGGACTCCAAGACCTACAAGCACCCCACCTCAACGAGCGGACAACGATTCTGGTCAAGGAGAACAGCCTCCCAGGTCTTAGCACCACATGCAAGAGCTAGCTGGGGTCCCAAGTCCCCAGCCAGGATTGGACTGACTTTGATCCTACTTTTCAGGTCTACATTTGATCTACCTGGAGTACGACCAGACACAACTCACTCGCTATGCTCCATCCTGGAGGCCCGAGGGTTCCGGACCTGCCACGAGGTTCGGTGAAGCCCCATCAACTTCAGCCTATCAGACACCTTCTACGGCGAAGCCTAGTGGCCTTGGACCCCAACAACTACGTCTGGTTCTTTGCCAGCATTGGATCATGAACCCTGGAGCAGCTTGCTACATGCACTCATTGGTTACAGGCATGGTCTGGTGTGCACATGAGGCTGATGGCTTGAGTGAGGACCCATGGTCTTTTGGGACCGGGAACACATCTCCGTCTCACTGGCTTGGGCGGTCTTCCTTCCTCATGGACATTATGATGGGCCTTGACCACATCCCCTACCTGGTCACAGTGGTCTACTGCAGGGATACCCCAGTGGTCACTACTGCACTGCCGGCCTCAAGGGTGGGTTCCGGTGGATCTTCGACGACGCCATCATGACGGTGATGCTCTTGAAGGCGCCACCGGAGAACATCTGTCTGCAGTGGCCTGTCTGTCTACCCCCAGAGCAGGCTTCCTTGATGGATGAGGACTCCCCCATCCTGGCGGATGAAGGGAAGATGAATACCTTCATCCCTGACAACTCCATCCACGGAGAATGGCACCTGCAACGGCTCTCGGCACCTGCCTGCAGGACACCGGCAGGTTGGGGAACCCTCCAGGACCTTATCATTGGCTTGAGATCAATGGGAACCTGTGCAGGAACTGGCCAAAGACCTCAACTCACACCTGGAGGAGGTTTCTTGGTCCTAGTGTGAGGCGCCTTGTCAAGAAATGCATTATGTGCAGGAGTTGGCCAAGAGACCTCAACTCCCGCTTGGAGGAGGCCCACTGGGCGCTTTGAGAAGCATCTCTCCCCTTGGCTGAGAAGTGAGTGTGGACTTCGTCACGAAAGCTCAACCGACGAGATGTGCGCCTGCCAGACCTCTCATGGCACTAACCTGACTGAGGACCACCTGTGTCCATGCCCTAGCCAACTGGCTTGTTTTTATTTCTAGCTTTGGCGTCCAGTGGCGGGGCATGCCATACTGGCATGGCCAATGGGCAAAGCCTGTAGCAGCTAGCTGACGCTGGCTGGCCCTCCGGGGCCCAGACGGATCAATGGATCCACGCCATCATCATTCGATGAGCGTATGGAAAGAAAGATGAGGACGAAGATGAAGATGAAGATGAAGATGATGATGAAGATGATGATGAAGATGAAGATGATGATGATGATGATGATGATGATGACGATAAGGGCCATGAGCGGTTCAATCCCCACTGCCCGCGGTGCGGCCCCTTCTCGCACATGGACAACCTGAAGTTGATCACCACGGTGCTCGACTTCTTCGGTTACCGGGACTATGCCGCACATTCTGCAGGACACCGAGATCAAGATCTCTTCCTCCCCGAGCTCCACGACTACAAGCTCAGGTACTATCCTCTGCTACTCGTAGCGGTGACTGTCATCCACATCATGCTTCATCGGGAGAATCTCATCTACCAGAACAGTCCTACTAGCACCTGGCAACGACCATGGTCTGCCATGGATGGCTCAGGAGGAGACAGTGTACACATGTGTACACCACCATCCATGATCCCAAATTCCATGACAACTGGAATGGCAAAGGTTGCCTGGGCTGGATCTTCTTGACATCAACATCCTGGTGGACAACCTCAACTCGTGCTACAGACTTGTGGGAACTTCATCATGTGAGGCAGCTGGCCATGAAAGCCTCACTCAGCCTGTTGGGAAGCAGCAGGACCCTTGGCGGAGAAGTGAGCGGTGAGCTTCACTTAAAGCACACAGGCGGCGGGTTTGCCTTTTACTCCACAGTCTGGTTACCATACTTCCTGGACAACAAGCTGGAGGTTGCCCACATTCCTTTTCTATTTTGTCCCCGGCGTCTCCGACCATTTGGGCTTGGAGGGACCCAGTGGACACCATTGCTCAGCCATCAAGGACGATGGCACATGGTGGGTCTACGACGACGTCTACGAGCCGGTAGAGTTCTCAGCACTGCCACTGGTGGTACCAGAGAACTGCAGCCTGTTGTGGTTGGGCTGCACACCACATGGAGGTGCTGGGGGGTCACCAACGATAACTGGCATGGACAGTGGCTGCAAAGATTGGATCTACTGGACACCAACATCCTGGTTGACAACCCTAGCCTTAGGCAGGCTGGTGAAGAACTGTATCATGAATGGCAGCTGGCCACGGGACATAGCTTTCCACCTCCAGATGGACACAATTCATGGTGGGACGCAGCTGGCCCCTTGGCGGAACATGTGCAGTGAGCTTCATTTCCTGAGCACACCCCTCCGGTGGTGTGCCTGCCAGCCGTTTCACAGCATTGGCCCCTATGAGGATCATTGCTGTCCGTGCTAGAGAAAGTTTTCTTTTTGCATTTGGTGTTGCGGTCACTCAAAAGGAGGCAGGGCTTTTCCCTTGCTCGACTGATTGACCGCAATCTCAACTTTCGAGGCTTCAGGCCCCACGGGGCGCCAGGTGGGACTAATCGGGTCCACGCGATCATCGACTGATGGGCGTATGAAAGAAAAAGATGATGATGATGATGATGATGATGATGATGATGATGATGATGATGACGATGATGATGATGATGATGATGATGGTGATGGTGATGGTGATGGTGATGATGGTGATGGTGATGGTGATGGTGATGGTGATGGTGATGGTGATGGTGAT